TCGGCAGGCGCGGGGCTGGCAGGAGCAGCGCGTGGCTGCGAGCCCAGTGCCCTCCTGGACGCGGCCGTGCAGGGTAAGCTGCTTCCCCAGCCACAGCTCTCACCTGGCAGGGAGACCCCGCTGCAACTCATGTTCAAAAGCCCTCCCCACTGTGGCTGCAGTTGCTAGTCGATATGGTTTGTCTTGGGTTCTAGCAGGCAAAAATCTGCTGTTAAGACAGAAGTTGTTCAAAGTCTGATCTCGCTTATTATGCAGCACATAGAACAGTTTTACATAAGCAGATTTAGGAGGTTACATCCCTGCCCCTACACAAAGCATCAAACATATTTAAGTACAAACGAGGATTTTTAACTGCTGGTAGAACTATATAATAGCTGTTCCTATAGGGGGAGAAAAGTGAACGGCACACCAGTGGCTGAAATGTCAGTCTCATTCTGTATATTAGATCCATCTAGAAGATAAATTCAGTTAAACAAAATCTTCCCTCCTTACACTGTTCCCAGAGTATAGAAATCATTCCTAGTCTTGACCTTTCAATTCCAGCCCTCCTTAGAAAGCACTTCCCTATACTTTCTATTAAATTCTAGGTGTTTATTAGTGTACTGCTCCACTACTTTTAAGTCAGGGAACTGGAGCACCAAGTGATTTATTAATCGGATTAAACCAGAATGTGCGAGTAGTTTGAGTGACACTTTAGTAGTGCAAGTGTGTGTGTGTGCCACTAAATACGCTCAGTTGCAGGGATATAATGCAAAATAGCAGTGGCCTGTATAATTAGAAAATTCTACCTTTACATGTGAAAACAAGCCACAAAACCGCATACTGTTCAGAGACACCCTGTAAAATAACAGGCCATCTTCAGAGAAAAAGAAATATTGCATAAATATTTCGTAATTATTCAATACGATTTTTTACACAGTAGGCAACAGAAGACAACACTTTTGAAAACAGGACATCTTACATCACTGTGCTGAGCCTTCTTTTTCATTTCCTGAAGTACTAACGCACATATTTAAATATATACAAACAAATAGCAATGAAGTCATGGCATGACCCAAGCATTAAGTGAAAACTATCATAAGGTCCCCAATTATGGAAATGTTTGTCTGTTGCTCACATTTTTGTAGATAATTAGCTGCTTTTATCTTTGAGGCAGCTCACTGACCAATGAGAAACTATCAAAAAGCAAATCCTGCTGTGTTACACAAGGAGAAGGGAGAAAAAAAACATTCTACCCTTTCCAGCTTTTCTTTTACATTCTTAGGCACAACATAGCCAAAGTGAGGTGGGAGGTGTTAATAGTTCTGCCTATCTGCTAAATGCAGTACTGTTTTAGGTGTGCATTAGTACAGCGCTTCTGAAAAAAAAAAAAACCCAAAAAACAAAAACAAAATAACCAACCATTATTTCCCTACCTTTCCCCCCACACACACAACATATTGCACTGCGGTTTGTAATTTGCATGTGAGACAACCCAGATGAGAAATAGGAATGGTCTGAGTTTGGGCAACAACTATTTTAATATGCTGGACTGCAGCTAAGGTTCCTTATGCTCACAGGCCCTCACTAAATGTATTTACGTGAAATCTCACAAGCCCAGCATGCTTCTAATTGTGCAGAAATATGAAGTCCTGTCGTCAGAAAGCTGAGCCTGATTCTTTGTCCTGCATATCACAACACATTTTAGAAGATGAGGAAATATTATTTTTAGTGGTTATTTTAGTGCAAATATCAACTTCTACCTTCTACTTGTTGCAAGTATCAACTTCCACCTTTATGGGAAATAAGGAGATGGGGGGATGTGATACTGGAGAAATTACTTACTATAGTAACAGAACTTCAGTAGAGTCCTCTTAACAGTTAAAAATTACTACTCTTTGAACAAGCCATCCTGAAAGGGGTAACACAACTGCGTATTAAAATGGAAATAATGTTAGCTGTCATTTTTCAGAGAAATCCAGACGCAGGTCAAAACTAGACCATAAATGAATCTTTTCCTTAGCTCCCACTAGGTTAACAAAGCAAGAAAATTCCCCCCCCCTCTTTTTTTAAACACCAAAAGCCCCTGATGACCTCATGCACGCCCTATGTAACAAATGTGGAGTGAGAGGGGAAAAAAAAGCAGCAGCATGCTCTGAAGGCATCTGTATTAAGCATTTGAAATAGCACAAGAGGCTTACTAAAAATAAAATTATTATAAAGTGACAGGAGAAGCAGAGACTTATTTTGCATTTAGCGTGTGAAAAACTGTAAAGCTTTTAAAAGGTCTGCATGCAAATAGCACTTACACCCACTTTGAAAACCTATATGAGATGCCCATAAGGTTGGTCTGATGCAACTCTTCACTTGAAGGAAATTTTCCTATTATGAAACAGGGGAAAAATCTGAGGCCTGAGAATCTACAAATCACTGAAGCTTTCAAAGAAACTAGAGCTCCTGTCAGTCTGCTGTAGGAGCACAGATGAAAGTAGGTTTTCAGAGATGCAGGTACTAATGCCTGTTGCTGAGTGCCCTTTGGAAGATGCTGTAGGAATGAAGATGTTTCATCTCTGAAATGAAACATCTCTGAAATGCCTGCACAGTGAAAAAGGAGCCAAAGCAGAAAATCTGCCCCCGTGTGATTGGTTTTATGGATTCTGCTAAGGTTAGCCCCTGCTGAATGATTTTAGTTCTATCAACTGCTCAGTTCGATCTTAATCTTTAGTTCAGATATGACAGTTTTTTAGATGAGGATAAGAAAGGTAAGAGAGCTTCTGTGAGTCATTTCAAACTGGAAAACATACGGCCTCTTCTGAATGTACACATTAGAAAAAAGCACCTATTGGCTCTGCCTTTGTGAAAGTCCCTAATGTTCTTCCTTTCTGTTATTAGCAATTGCTGCTTAGTAAGAACACAGAGGAATTACGGTGTGTTCAGGAAACTCAGTGCCTGCTGATGTGTTGCTTTTAAGACGGGGCATATCCAGAAGGTTTAAAAACATGTTTTGAAAAATTAGAGTGTTGCTTTGAAAACTAAGCTCTCCAAAGGTTCCTGATTGTAAGGCAGTACATAGTCCCTGCGAGCAGAGCTATGTAGGTGATTGGTGCTACTCAAAAGACAAATTCTGAGAAGCGGTCCACACTTCTGGTAAGTGCATCCGGAAATTCATCTCCGTGAGTGATGGTGAAAAGCTGCCGTCAAAAAAATTTGAATTCTGTCCCTCCCAAGCCTGCCATTACAGAAATGTAAGAGGCATGAATGTTTCTTGTGTGAAGGAAGACTGTCCGCGCATGCAGTATGGTCGCAGTAGTTCTGTATGCTGAAGCCGGATTACTTATGTTGGTCATCTAGAAAGCTGTTTCCCTCTTTCATTTTGTCCTGTTTCCTACAAGCTCCTCTGTGCGTTTTCTGCTCTGCGCTTCCCCGATGCCGCTCAGCGCCTGCGCCATGCCCAGGTCCTATTTATAGGTGCACTTGGGGTTTTGGAGCTGTGCTTATCTACTTGCTCCCTTTCTTCACACTGTTCATTATTAGCAATTATTACCAGGTTCTTTACCCCCAAAACGACAACTGCCAAGTCGGCTTTATCAGTCTAAGGCAGGAGAGATGGGCTCACGGGGCGGCCCATAGCTGAGCACAGTGGGAGGTACCAGGCCCTGTTGTTAGGCCACGTGAGGAGGAGAGAGTTGGGCCTCAGCCCCATTTCCAGATCCTTCCGCCACTGCCGCCTCCGGCCTCACTGCTGCCGCCTCCACAGCGCCATGGCCAAGGCAAAGTGGAAGGCATCTCCCTCCCTTCATCTGGAGGGAGCAGATGAAGAGGCGCTGGAGCCTCCGCCGTCGGTGTGGGACGGGCAGGGGTGCGATGGCAGTGGGCGCCGCTGCGGGGCTCAGTGATGCCAAGGGCGGCCGCCAGGAAGCCCTGCGGGGGGCTGGCGAGCTTCCTCTGAGGAAGCAGGACAGTGCACCGCGCGGATAAACGCCCACTGCTTCATGAAGTATTTTACATGGGACTCTCTGCTTCTGACTGGGACAGTAATTCCCGTCAAAAGAAAAAAAATCATGTTAATTTGAAATAGTGATTTGACAGCTGCTGCTGGGGTCTACATTAGGTGAATCTTCAACAATGTCACAGGCAGGCCCATGGCAGCGCATGTGTAGGTAGAGTAGTCTGAGGTAGAGAAAGCAGTTGAAGAAACAATGTGAGCTCCTTTAGCTTGTATATGAGGTCATCTGTTAAAACCCATATGCATGGACCTGTTCTTAAATATTAATTTCCAAATAGTCCATACCTTCAACAGTAGGGGTTATAGTATTAATTCTAAAAAGTGCTCTCATTAGCCATTATTCTATCACAGTGAACAATTTCAATAAGAAAGTGAATATGGACATCTTTAACAGTGCAATAATTTTACTCATGTAGGTCTATGCTAGTAGTAAAATGCACTTAAAATCTGTGACAATTTCTTCCATAATTTGCTTTTCTTATCTTCTAGGTGGTTGGCTTAATTATTGAATCACAGTGCAAAAATGATACTGAAGCTTCCATACACACCGCATATAATAAAATTATTGTAAGCAGAATCATTGCTAGAAGAGAAATTAAGTGTACTGCAGATGAGTACAAGTCAGGTGGTACGTGTTGCAAGAAATGTGAACGTGGTAAGTATCATAAGAGTGCACTGAAAAGTGATTAAGAGTGGAAACCACAATATGCACAGTTACTTTTTGGTGGGATAACTAAGTGGCATGCTTTGCTTCTTGGATACAGTGCTTCTTTCTAGCTGTACCCTTCTCCAGTACAGGACCTCACACACTTCAGAAATACTCGAGTTCAGTCCAAGAATATCTTTTCCTAGATTTCATAGATGGTTCATATATAACATGCTTATAACAAAAGAGCTGACAGTTTCATACACAGATTTGAAAGAGGTTAAGAATGTGCAAACCTCTTCCAAAGCTGCGTATGCAACAGTCAGCCTACAAGATTCTCCATATATACATGGGTTTTCATGTTTTTCGTGTTTTGTTTAATGTTCTAAATTGAAGGAGGGAGCGATATGAGATTTTAGGTATGCTACATTACTGAAAAGCACATATTTATGCATAAAAATATGAATTCTGACAGTATTTGTAAATGAGAAGGTATTACGTACTAAATAGAAAGCTTGAAGTAGGTCTTAGAACTGATGGCTTCTGGTCAAAGATATTACATATCTTAGTCTTTTTTCTCTCTCTCTCTACAGGCTTTGTTAAAAATACTACATGTCCAAAAAACATTAGAGAACATTGTGTTCAATGCAAACCTGGACAGGAGTATGTCGACCATGCCAACGATTTGGATGAGTGTATGAGATGCGATTCCTGTGACAGTGTGCTTGGTATGTTTATAGCAAAAGCAACTCAAGCAATGAACTTGTTTGCTATAGTATTAGATTGAAAAGTCTTGGAAAACCCTGAGTAAAGGGTAGTAGGCAGATTAAAATGTCTAAGGAATAGGATAAAAAGGAATTTATGACAATTTATCAGAATTTATCCAATTCATTTTTGTTGAGTACAAAGGAGGAAGAATAGATACACTGGTGCTTTAATCCCCTTACCCCTACCTTTGCTCAGCTTGGGAGCATTTAGAGGGTAACCTTGCACCTCATCTATGCATGCCTCTACTGTACCTCTCCTTACTTCCCCCAGACAGGTAACCCACAGGTACTGGGATGTTCTGTTCTTCCTAGGAGGCCTTACAGCACTTAATGTTTCTGCACAGGCTCTACCTTCAGTTGTGATATAGTCCTGTTAGATTATCTTATAAGTAATGTAATATTCTATGGGTTATAATAAAAAGCAACTTGCAGATCATACTTTTGTATGGCATATATTGGCACATGTATAGGCAGGCTGAAAAGCCATACCTCATTCAGTAAGGCAGCTGTAATACAGCTGGGAAAAACTGATAGCCTTCTGCACCTTTTCTTCATGAGGCCTGAGGATGTTCATATGTCCTAAATTTACAGTGAATTCACTTCCCGAAAGCCTCCATTTGCCTTTACCTTCTTATCTTCCCTCCTAGTATGCTATTTGGTCTAAAAAAAGATAAGAAGTTTACCTTTTTTTTTTCTCTTAGTAGCTAGTTTTCAAAGTTATGCTAAAGATGTGTACTAGAAATATGAATCAGCTTTGTTTTCCAAAAGACATTCAATGTTGAGCACAGACTTTACTTCTTTAAAGCAGGTCCTACACCATCTGGTTAGAGGCAAAAGAGGAACTTTTGGTTCTATTTTTAAAAGAAGAGAGGTATTGGGAGAAGTAGAGAAGAAACAGCTCCCTGTAACTCCTTCTTTTCTAGTCTTTTATGTAATTTCATATACCTTATCTAAAATTACGGGATCTTATCATTATCTTTGTCATACATTCAAGATGCTACATGGGGTATAGGACCAAATTATGAGACGATAAGACATGCCCTACTTGCTCAGACCACAATACTTTGCATTCGTTAGTGGAGGTAAGAGATGCTATTCATAGAGAAAGGGATGTTAGAAGGTACATCCTATCTCATCCTTTTAGAATCCATTTATGAGCCTGTTGTGCAGGGGCTGTGAGCCATTAAGTTCCAAGAATTCACTCCCTATTACCTAAATACTCATAAAACTCCTGTCCTACTGGTTCTACCAAGAGGCCTCCAGCTGCAGCGTGGCTAGAGTTAGATAATAGTACTGCATTTATCATATCCAAAATCCAGTTTGCTGAAGAGACAGCTCTTATCTCCAGTGTAGTTCTGGAACTGACCACTGTAGGAATACTGATTTTTAATGTTTTCCCCTTCCTGTAACGCCATGCACATTAGCTCTTACTAGCTACTATAATAAGCATTTTTAGATTGGTAGTCAAGATGAGTACAGCAGAAAAAAAAATGTAGTATTTTGTATACTGCCACAAAGCAAATTCTTAGACTCTACAGGAAAGAAAGGGTGACAGAATGACTATTTAATGTGTCCCATGCACAATAATGGGGTTGAAGAGAAGTCAGATAATTGATAATATTAGTCACAAGGGAAATTATCATTGGAGTTCCATGAAAATCAGCTTTTGGATCATTCTTGCTTGATATTTTCATGAATGGCTTCAGCACTTGTTTTACTGTGCTTCATCAAATTATAAGAGAGATTGTGGTTTTCTGTTACAGCAGGAGACTGAGTGTAGTAACTCAAATTCCTTTCTGTGCCTATCTCACAGTTAAAATAGTTTTTATATGAGAAAGATCTACTTAGAATAATTTTTTATGAAGATTTTTTTTTCATAGGTAGAATGGAGATTGCTTTTGTATTCATTGAGGATAAGAGAAAATTCATTGACTTATTTTCATATTTAAGCACGGTTATGCTAACAGGTTTATGTTAGCTATAAAGAGTAGAACTCCTCACCGTGGGAAGTGCACAGGAAGAGATAAAACAGATCATCTGTCTGGGAAGCAAAGGAGTTTGACTCTGCCATAAAGCAGGATGATCGGCTCCATGATCATCCCAGGTCACTTCTGGCTTTACGTGTCTGAATAGGAAAAAGCAGCTGACAATACCTTGCTAGCGCTATCCAGCATGTCTTGTTGTACGAGCAGTTTGCCCAGCTTTTGGCCAGCAGAGGTCTCATTGCCCTCTTCATCCTTCCACTACTCCCCCAGCAAGTTTCCTTGTAAAAGCTCTGTTCTTGTGGAAATTAAGCCGCACTAGTGCCAGCAGCAGCAGAGCTAAAAGCACTGGAGTATGAGTACCACAATGTGCAAGCAGACCTACTGTAAAACCTGCATTTTCAAACTAACAGACTTTAAGAACTCATTTTTAGGTTTAAAGACTGCAAAGGAATGTACCCCAACACAGAACACTGAATGCACTTGTGCAGAGAACTTCTTTTGCAATTCTTCTGGGTCATGCACACACTGTGAGCCATGTTCCACGTAAGTTTATGCCTCTGTTGATTCATGTTAAATATCCAATTTTGAACAACCTTTCTCCAGCCAATTTCAGGATGGATTCTGTGATAATATCTACCCTTGGGGAAAACATACTAGCTAGCTTTTGTTTAATTCTGTTAACTTAATTTGCATGCAGACTTTCTAGAGGCACATAAAAAAACTTGTACAAACGCACCAACTCTGCACATACCTTAAAAAATCCTTATGAAGTGGCTAAGCTGTAATATATCTTGATATATTAAATACCTGAGAAAAAAGTTAGAATATTTTGATTTGTTCTCAAGAGAGAGTTTCTAAGCAGATAAAGAAATCTCTTAATAATATTTGTTTGTTTCTGCAGGTGTGACAGTGGCCTTGTCAAAAAACAATGCACTCCAACTTCAGACACTGTATGCAAAATACAAGGTACCATTTTAAAATCTAGTACGGTACAGAATGACCCAACATGACTCCTGGCAGCTAGGGACATCAAAATTACCAGGCCCTGCACTGACGAGTGCAGCATTATTGCTTTTTGCCTTGATTGATGCAGAAATTTGGGGGTCACCATTCCTTTTTATGAGGTGTGACTCAGGAGATAAGTCTTCAAAAAAGAAATAGCTACTGCCATTAGAATAAAACAGAGAGATTCCTATAATTTGACACGATTTTGTTGGAATTTTACATTGTGTTGCAGTACTGCATTTTTTGACTTAACTTTCATACACTGTTTCCAATGTTCCAATAGCAGGAGGAATCGGGACTTACACTACTACAGTGGCCATATGCGTAGCGCTAGCTGTAGTAGCTGGTGCAATTGGAGGACTAATATGTAAGTTCCTTGTTCCTATCATTCTCTGAATAGGATATGCTTTCTCAGGTGTAATTTTATTATTACTGGAGTGTAGAGGGGAAGTACACTTTGTGCTGGATTTCAAAATTCATCTGTGTTGCATTGTTTCAGATTTTAGAAAACGTAGGTGTCGTACTAGCAAGCTGTCCCGAAGTCTTTCAGTCCCCGAACCAGGAGTTCCTTCTGTAAGTATTGTTGCTTAGGTCAGATAAAGCTCAGTTTGGTGCCTAAACTCTTGTCCCACTGAAATTACACTGGGAGTTCCCAAGCACCAGGATACCTGTCTTCTGTTACGTGAATGCAGTAGATTTCACCAAGGGGATTCCTTTGGGAGAAGTAAGAGGGAAAATGAGTAACTATCATCTCAAATGATTTCCTCATATTACCTGACAATTTGTTGATACGCTTCTTGAGTTACATGACCAAGACCAGAATGTTATAAATTATCCTGCCTATACTGACCAGGGTACCTGACCCCATGCATACTCCTAGGCCAAGGCCCAAAATGGTGATTCTCATACCTAAGTCAAATAGAAAGTAGGTCTGTCCAGTCTGATTCCCTGACTAGGAAAGAGGGAAATCATGGAAAAAGCTAAAATAAAATTGGATATGTGGATGTCATGAAATCTATTATACAAGGTTGCTATGTAACAAAACTGTTTTCAATGAGTTTGTCCCCTGCTTCTCTTTTCAGGAGATGGTACCCATCATGTTTGCAGGTAAGGAGCAAAAAATTTCTCATAATTCAGTACAAGATAAAAATACACAGGGAAATATTACACTATTTTAATGTAGACTTGGCCATTTCCTAGAGAAGAATGGTTATTAAAGAAATGCTAGCTCTTACTGTGCTTATGAAGACATTTAGTGGTTTCATGCTAACGAAACTTTTAACTTAGGAGGAATTTCCTATTCTCTGTTCTGTAGGAAACGATTATTGGCTGATGAGGCAAACTTTTATTCTGTATTTACTAAAAACACTAGGAGGTAGCAAGCTCTATTTTTATGATTTTAGTTAGTTTTAACAGTGGAGTAGTTCCACACATCAGCAATGGGATAGCAGAAACACAACCCTTATGTCCAAGGCTAAAGCCATAGTACTAACAAAGAAAAAGAAGAGAATGTGAGCTCTAAAGCTCCATCATAACATAACACCTGTCTAGTTACAGGAATTGTATTGGGCAAAATAGATACATCAGACTTTGATCATAAATAGGAAAAAAGAGGTTACAGAGAAAACAGAGGTTCTGTGTGAAATGACAGCAGTATTGATGTAGCTCTACATATTTGTCTTACTTAGCATTTGTTAACAATATGTAAAAGCAGAACTGTTGCTAATACAGAATCTAATATAAATTGTAAAAATTAGCATGTTTCATGTGCGAGTCATGAATACATGAAACTTCATCTGTACTGTGTAGGAAAAGGTTCAGCTTTCCACATAGGTGATTAAAAGCAGCAAGATATCGGTGTCTAGAGTATTCATTTTCTGTTATGCTTCTAGATATTGACCTGAGCACCTACATTCCTGATATTGTTGGGGAGATGACACTCCAAGAGGTCAAGGCATTTGTTCGTAATCGTAAAGTACCAGAACCTATGATAGATGAAATTATTCGGGATAATGTTAATGATACATCTGAACAGAAGATTAAACTGTTTCAAGAGTGGCATAAAAGACATGGGATAAATGGAGCCTATGAAACCCTGATCAGAAGCCTTAGAAAGCTTAAAATGTGCTCTGCAGCTGATAAAATTGAGAGAAAACTGAAGGCAGCTATTCCCAGCAGTCAGGAAGTTGGACAGTCTTATAACAGTAACATTGAGCAAAGCACAACCTGCACTCAAGAAAGTGGAAACTCTCATCTTCATAATGCTGAGCTAGGCAAAACCTGTTCTGACAGTTCGGAAGAGACATAGCATAGCATCATTTGAAAATTATTTCTAATCAACTTGATACTTTTGTAATAATATATACATTAGGTTTTTAAAATTGTCACATTTTTGGCAACTTACTAGGATCCAAGGAGGTTATAACGTGAGCAAGTCCTGATTTTTCAAGAGGCATTTATTAAAAAAAAAAAAAGTGTAACTATTTATTTAGATTGCTAAGAACTGAGAGCTCTGGTTTTAGGGGTCTATGAAATGTACCAGGAAAAAAACTGAACAAAAACAATATATTTTTATATACTATCCCCTCATTATTTCTGAATATAAGTATTAATCTGTTATTAAATTCTAGTCTTCTGTAAGCAGGACTTCTCACTTGTATAAAAGTACTTTTGAGTGTGTTTAGCTGTGTAATGTTTTGTGCATGCGTTTACAAGCTTTGCATGTGCATACATATATGTATTTATATATGCACAAGCTTTTCTGTGCAGAAGCCCCAGGATTAAGTAAAAGGTAGTATTCCCTTTGTTTCCTGCAATGATGGTAAGGCTTTTCTAATGTTAAAACTACAGAGAAGCAGGCACTGGAAGCACAGAACCATGGTCGAATTGCACAAGTTGTGGAGTCTCCAAACTTGAGTGCAACACTAGCTTTCCAAGAGCAAGAAATAATAAGGAAAACGCAATAATAAAATCAAAACAGTGAATGACTCTTCTTTTTCCTTCCTACAATGCACCTACAAATACCATTTTTAGATTTTAGTTATGTCAGTAAATCACAACATGGGGATTACTCTCAAAAAATATTTCTCCCGCTCTCGTCTCAGAGCCCAGAGGCCTCCTAAAGGCAATTAAGCAGTAGCTTTGCACCCTGCCTGCACTGTTAGAATTGAGGAACTATGTAAGAGTATTCCAAGAGAGGAAGAGTTTCCCACACATTAAATAATTCTTGTCTTAGGCCAAGCTCTTTTGCACCTCTGTCTCCTTTAGGAGTCTCCTCTCCACTACCCCTGGCAATGAAATGCCCGTGGGGGTTGGGTGCAGCCTCTGAAGGGCATTAGAAATGCAGCCCTGGTTCTCTTAGTTGCATTCAGGAAAAACTGAAATGAATTAGAGAAACTTCATAAACTCTCAGCCCTTCAAAGGCTTGCTTAGGTTCCAAGGGCCCCAGAACCCATTTTGTTGCCAAGCCAAGGCCTTCCTTAGCTTGTACAACCTTTCCTCCCTTCTCAAATGCTACACAGATGTTAAGCACTTGCAAATATCTCTCACCCCAATCTGAAGCTTCTTGCCTCAAATCTCTTTGCGTTTTTTTAAATGAGTCACAAGTCTAATATGTCAGCATGTCACTACTATATTGCCACTAAAATCCCCACGAGTGATAATTTTCAAAGGAAAACTTTCAAGCACTTCTAGCTAGATGACTTAACATCCATGCAGCAGACTTGTGCAACCTGTGCACTGTCTAAGCATGGAGCCTGACAAAGGGCTGCCATTCTGTACATGGGCTGTTGTGCCTATGCTACCTGTACAGACCTTGCGCATGCTGGGCCAGTGTATTGCTAATTGCCATGTTTTCCACAAGGCTCCTCTCATACACAGGAGAATAAAATACCTGCCTGGGATTTTCACCTCAGAAAAGTAGCATAACACTGGTGCAGGCTGTGCCACACTTACTTGTTAGGTTGCAATTACATAGAAGCATTTTCAAAATAGAAGGAAAGCAAGCAAGCTCCCTGCTCTCACAAGTCCAGGCTGCTCCTATGTCACGTCCCACACAGGAAAGCATGACCAGAATGTCAGCTTTCCTGGGCTCCCACCTTTACCTCTCAGGCATTTGGTATTTGACCACCAGAAACTAGGGCTGTCCACCTCTTAGGGCTTCTGCAAGTCAGTTATACAAACTGATCTGAACAAGACAGTTCATAAAAAGGAGACACCAAATCTCTTAAATTTGTGATAATTAAATAGAATATGAAACTTTTTTTTTTCAGCACACTGGGATTTCCAAAGTTCAGTATGATGAGGATGGTGTTAAAAAAAAAAAAAAAAGAAAAAGAAAAGCCCATGAGCAATGAGTCAGTCTCCAGTCCCCTTAGGAGATATCTGCGAGACTGAACCTAGACTGCCATGAAATGTAGTTGTTAGCATATATCCTATGTTTTTACTTCACTAGAACAGTGTGAAAGTGGATTGATTACATTGTACAGTTGGTTTTTCAAAGCAGTGCATATACCTATTTGTATTACCATGCAGTGAGCTACACAGTGTAGTGCCATCTGAGCAAGCTTAAACTAGCTGCACTGGAGACCAAAAGCAATTTAGCCCTGATGACCAATGTTAACACATCTTGCTTTTCATCACTTCCCATTTCTGGCATCTTTAGCACACTCAGTGCTTCACAGGAAAGTAATGCCAAGCACTATTAGCACTGTTTCAACTTTCGTTTCACTTCCCAGAAAGAAAGTCTGCGCTGAGTCTCATGCTTATAAGCATGAGGTACTGCCAGTACCTTAGCCACTCCTTAAAACCCAATTCTGGTATCTTTATTTTATGCTCTGCTCATGGCACACTTGCAACGACTAGCCCTTTTCTCTCCAAAGGCAAGACTCTCACATACAGGCAACCCTGAAAAATGAGTCTTTTCAACAATTTAAGTGGATGTGGCAGGGGCAGAGAAATTATATTGAGAAACGAAACCTTCCTGCTTTACAGAAACCAAGCAACAGAAAAGCAAGTGGAAACCAAAACAGAAACTTGAATGAAACAAGAATGACTTGACACATTTTGAAAAGCAGAATGGGAAAGCTCCCTCTTCAGGAGGAAAAAAAACTTGCAATACGCTTGCCTTTGCTATAATTACATATATTTTAAAAAGTATTTTTAAGTATTTTACAATAAGTATTATTTAAAAACAACAACAGAAGAGCAGAAACATAGAAATACCAGACTAAAAGGATAATCTAAGTTCTTTCCGCTGCAATTGAAATTGACCACATGAGAGATGGCCTCAGAATTCAGAAATTCCACGCAGCATTTTGCTGTATATATCCCTTATCCTCACTGTAAGTTCCTGTCACCCTGCAAGTAAATGGAAGACCTGCAAGAGAGGTGAAACTAGATCACTATTACAGTGTGGCACCTGAAGAAAGCCTGAGATGTTAAAGACAGTTCGCCTACAATACAGTGCTCCTACAATAGTTATTTTTAAAAGTTAATCTCCTATTCATACTGACAAGTGACAGTTCTTGAAAAGACATCACTGAAAAATGAGCTACAGAGTACAAACAGCTCAAAAATTTGCTTTACAGATAGCATGACAAAGATGGAATAAATGTGAAAGAGACATAGATTTATTTCCTGTTCAGAAAAGAGGAAAGGAACACAACACAAATTCATGAAATAAAAAGGTATCGAGAAGACCCTTAGAGCTGGACATATTTCTTGTTTTGAGAGTGTGATATGACCCCAAATTTGTCAATACTTTGATTTTGTACTTGAAAGAGAAGCTTACATTCTTCCTATCCCACTGCTAGCAAGAAGGAAAATACCCACCATGTGTCTAGCCTCTAGTATGGAGTTGTGGTTGAGAATTATGAGGGATGTGGGAACAATCACAAAACTTAATGCACAGTCAGTATTTTCTGGATAGCTTTTCAGTGGTTTTAGTTCATGTTCCTCACAAAATTGGAAGCAAGGCTTTTAAGGCAGACAGAGTGCTAGAGGGTCCTTTCCCATAGCTTTAAATTGGGGGTTTTAACTCCACCAACAAACCAACAACTGTGATATAGTGCTATTTTCATAGCAGGCAATGGAGTTGGGAAATTGGCAAAAAAATGTCTGTGATCCCAAGCATTTTGAAGAGAGGGTCCTGAACCCTGCACAGGAGAGGTGACAGTGACAGCAAGCAGGAGTAGGCAAGAGCCTAAGGGACAGTCCTCAGCCTCCTGCACAGCACCAGGAGGGCAGCATTCCTCCCTCCTCTGCTGCTTTCCGTGATCTTTCCCCTGTTGCACAGTCCTCAGCAGGGGAGGGAAGACATATCCATGCATACAGAGCTGGGATAGTTGAAGCTGTGGGACACATCTTATGTTGTCCCCAGCGATTCATAGGCACCCAGCATCCCTGTTGCTGCTGTTTGTGCCCTGCTGCTTCTGATGTGCTGGGTGGGAACCACAGGAGGCTTGTGGGGACAAACCGCTTTGATGTGAGCTGATCTCACATCTCTTGAAGCTCGAGGTCTGTCTCCGAGACACGAGAACAACACCTATGCCTGGGCCTTTCTGAGGAGGAACCATGTTTGCAATAGGCAGTGCCCTCTCATTTGTACAAGAATGGATAGCTGTCACCAGATAACTCAGAGTTTACAAATGTCTTCATCAAATCTCTTTAAAAAGAAGTTTTTAAAAAGAGCAAGCTGAAGTCACATTAAAAAGGCAGTTTTTCCTGGTTTCTTTCCATTTGCTGTGCAGAGGGGAGGGCAGCAGCTCCAGAAGGCCTCGTTGCCCACAGAAACCACACGTCGGCCTCTGCAGGCCCTGCTCCCTGCCGCTGCTCGGCAGATGGCAGCCTGTGTCCGCGCCGTCCCTCCCGGCCCCACACGCGGCCTGGACTGCTCAGAGCGCGGGCGGCCCTGGGCCTGCTCCTTCCCGCCGCCTCCGCCGCCAGACGGCCTGGCGCGCTCGCTGTTGGGAGCGCTCACTCAGCGAAGCGACGCGTTGTAACTGAGCTCAAACACCAGCAAACAGGCGTCTGGCTGCTGCGAGGGCGCAAAGCTTTGTCGGGTAACAGGGATCTGCTGGCAACTTGCCAGCCCCATTCCTGCCTTGGGGCTTGCCCTGGAGCCATGGGGCACCCACGGGTGCACCAGCGGCCCTGTCCTCTCTTCAGGCAGACAAATCCAACTCCAGTTTTATGCATGATTCCTACAGCTCTATTCCACCAGATTTGCCACAATAACCTTCCAAAAAACAGGACCTAAAATGACATCTGTAATGTCATAAAATGATGAGTAACAGCTTTCATAATGCTCAT